GACGGCTAGCTGGGCCTCAGACGGCTAACTGCGTGCTCAGACGGCTAACTGCGTGCTCAGACGGCTAACTGCGTGCTCAGACGGCTAACTGCATGCTCAGACGGCTAACTGCATGCTCAGACGGCTAACTGGGCGCTCAGACGGCTAACTGGGCGCTCAGACGGCTAACTGGGCGCTCACACGGGTAACTGGGCGCTCAGACGGCTAACTCTTAACAGGCACTCCGTGTGATCGGCCATCTGGGGGCAGCGGTCCTGATCGGACCATCAATACAGGTGGAACAATACATCATCAAAATATACTGATCGACTATTTTTCCTATTTAGCGTACTGTAAAAATATTTATCCTCTCTGGGCGACAGTGGCTTCAGATGTAGGAGTTTGCCCTGAAATCAAAGGGTTGACGGTTCAAACCCGGGCTCCGACTTTCAGCGTCATTGTGCAAGACACTTTACCAGCATTGTCTACTGATGGTGGTCAGAGGGCCCGGTGGCCCCAGTGTGTGGGAGCCTCGCTTCTTACAGTGAGCCCCAGGGCAGCTGTGGCTACAATGTAGCTCACCACCATTAGTGTGTGAGTGAATGGGTGAATGACTGTAGTGTAAAGCGCTTTGGTCAAGTCTCCTGACAGAGATCCAACCCTAAGTACAACGCTGCAGCTGATTGGGTGCCTGCCTCCCTGCTGGAGTTTTCAGCCAATCACAGCAGCAGGAGCAGCTGAGATGTTAACTGATAAATCAAAGTCAAACTACAGAATCTGGTCGGGAGCAATAAGAAAACATCTCCCAATCCACATAGGAAGAAACCAGTAGAATAGAGGAGATTCTTCCTAAAACCAGAGCAGCCATGTTTGTTTTGCTTTATCTTCTGGTTGACGCCATAAATGTTGCTGCATTTCATTGGTCTAAAACATTTCCGTATCGAGAGGAACAGATCCTCTCACTTCTGGAAAGATGTCTCTTTATTGGGTTCATGAATTTACAAATGTGGAGCAGAGATCCACAGCTCTCCACAAACCCGACTTTATTAGAACTCAGCCAGAAGGTCTTTGGCAGAGAATCACGGTGGAGACGGGAGCATGCTGAGGGAAGAAGGGAGCTGATCAAGAACATCTTCAGCTTCCAGCAGGAGGTCCAACCTGAGCTACTATGAGAAGGTTCCAATGTTAGCTATAGGTTGGATGGTCAGTCAAAGTCTGGCCCTAAATGTTATGTAGGGTCAGAGGTTAAACACAAACAATATTCAACCTGATCTCAGCACCGTAGATCCAAAGCGCTGAGATCAGGTCACCCGGTAAGGACTGCAAAAACGGTTCCGGTCTTTGGAAACCATCAACCATCACTCCTGATTATCACACAAGTTAAAAGCCTTCAGCTGATCCAAAATGCTGCAGCCAGAGTTCTGATGAAAATGAAAAAGAGAGATCAT